CATAGATGGGGAAGGGAGTCTAGATGTGAGTGGTAAATATTGTATGAAATTTTAAAAACTCAATAAAAAAGTTTTTAAAAAGTTTTGATTTTTGTTTAAAATCTTTTTGAAAACTAAAAGACAAAGCAATTAAAAGATCAAACATTTATGGCAATAACTCCTAATTGCATATGAAGTATCTAGAAGAGCTTTCTAAAAGTTGGCTTTGCAGATTCAAGACTCTAAAGAGACACTCAGCTCTGTCATTGTACCCTACCTTTACTGTGTGAATGTGTCCCAAGCACTAAGCTGTAGGTTTGAACTTAAATTCCTTTTTAAAAAAGATTTACTTTATTTTTTACTTATGTGTACACATGCATGCCAGTGCCTATAGAAGCCAGACAAAGGTGACAGATCTGAAGCTAGAGCTACAGACAGTTGTGAGCTGCCCGATGTGGGTGTTGGGAACCAAACTTGGGTCCTCTGGAAGAACAGGAAGTGCTCTAAACTGCTGAACCATCAGTCTCTCCAGAGCCTGAATTTTTTTTTTTTTTTTTTTTTTTTTTTGGAGACAAGGTCTCACTGTATAGTCCTGGTTGGCTGGGACTCACCATGAAAACAGGCTGACTTCGAACTCAGAGATCTGCTTGTCTCTACTTCCCATGTGCTGGGATTGAAGGCATTTACCAGCACACTAGGCACAAACAAATTCTTAATCTGACTGTTCCTTTCTAAACTTTCACTCCATTGATCATATGGCTGCTTCATCTACAATTATCACTGTGAGGGAAGAGCAATATGGACAAAGTCAATGACAAGGGCTGTTGGAGTCAGAGATAAAAGGACATCTGAATCGTTCCTGGTTTAAGTTCTGTGTTCTCCAATTAGTTCTCCAAACCACGCTGTCCTCATAGCCTTGATATGTATCAACAGATCAACTACATACAAAACTGGTGCAAACATTCACACACATGCGTGTATAAGCACACCACACTCCCAGCATGGGCTACCTGAGAACATGGAGGCCAATGACACTGAGAGTCCACTCTTTGACATGTGAGTCAGGTTAGCTCCTTCACTACCATCTGTGTAATAATAATTGTAAAAGGTGGCCCTTTAGTTTTCTGAAAGGAAACAAACTGATAAGATGGAAAATTCCACACCATATGTTCTGGGATCAGGATGTGACTTATGCTTCATCAGATGAGGCAGATTTAGGAATTTACATGCATAGGTAGGTGCTCACCACAGATTAGAGGACAGATAGTGCTACTTCCCCAAAACAGTCTAGCCTCAAGGACCTCCTAAAAGTAGTTAAGGGTGATGTTAGGAATATCTGGAGATGTTTGGGACTACTGAGTAGGGACTGGACGTACTACCGGCATTTAGTGTGTAGAGGCCAGAGAAAATAGTTAAATATCTCACAGTGTACCAGGCAGTCCCTCACAACAAAGAATTACAGGGCCTGAAGGTTGAGAAATCCTGTTCAATGGTTATGGCTGCTTCCTTTAAGGATTTCTGTTCTGAACCAACATGGGAATTAGCTGATTAAACATCTCCTGGGGCCACAACTGCAGCAACAGTTTCCAAGGAGTGCACTTTGTGTCTCCTGCTATGCAGGCTCCTTCCAAGACTGAATAGCTTCTCCAGCCCCCTGCTTTGCTACACAGAACATGACATTTAGTAGTCAAGTGAATTTCTCCATTAGCTGATAAACAAGTTTGAATTTACCGTATTACCCTTATGAAATTCTGCCTCTGATCCTGAGAGAGAGGGTGGAACCCTCTTATTTTCTTCCAATTCAAAGGTCTGTGATTAACAGAAAATATATATTTGGTCTTTGTCCCCAGGTCCTAGCATATAGCTCCCAAACTTGGATTTCTCTGAGTAACTGCAACGTCTTTTATTATTCATAATGAGTCCCTTTCAATCATACTTAAGTGTAAGCTAATGAGCTGACTATTCTTTTCTTGTCTTTCCTTTCCTTCCCTCCCTTCCCCCATCCCCTCCCTCCCCCCTCCCTCTTCTCCCTCTCCATGTCCCCCTCCCCACCCTTTGAAATAGGGTCTCAATACGTAGTGTTCTCTCCTTGTCTTTCCTTTCCTCCCCCCCCTCCCCCCCTCCCCTCCCTCCCCCCTCCCTCTTCTCCCTCTCCATGTCCCCCTCCCCACCCTTTGAAATAGGGTCTCAATATGTAGCCAACACTAGCCTGGGACTCAATATGTAGCTCACGAGTTCATGGCCTTGAACTCACAATATTCCTGTATCTGAATGCTAGGATGACAGGTGTGTGCCTCCATGTCTGATTTGCAGTGATGTGAGGGTCTGGCTTCAGAAGAACCAACCACATGACCAGAAGATCAGGCTTTCATTCCAGGAGGGAAGAGGGGTTGAGAATTGTGTTCACTTAAGAGAGATAAGGACTTATTCATTAACTGACTTTTTTTCAATTTCTTGAAACTCTTAGGGCCCTTGTCCTATGTACCTCTTCCTGCATCTGTTCATTTGTATCCTTCACAACACACCATAATTGTATGTCTAAGTGCTTTCCTAAGTTTTGTAAGTTATTCTAGAGAATTATTCAACCTGATGTGGGGGCATAGAAATCCTTGAATTTGTTTTTTTAATTTTATTTATTATTTTTGTTTTATGTATGAGTGCACTGCATGCACTGCATGTAAGTGCATCCGTGTCATGCAATGCCCATGGATTAAGAAGAAGGCGTTAGATTCCCCTGGAACTGGAGTTACAGACAGTTGTTAGCTGCCATGTGGGTGCTGGGAATCGAACCCAGGTCTTCTGCAAGAGCAACCAGTGCTCTTAACCACTAAGCCTTTCCAGCCCCAGGAAATCCTTGAATTTGTAATCATCAGGGTAGAAGTGTAGATGATCCCACTTGCTTTTGGCCTCTGAAGTGGAAGCAGTCTTGCGAAACCAAATCCTTAACCTGTAGAACTGTGTCAGAACTGAACTGCAAGACACTTGGGTGTATTGGAGAATTAGAGAATTATAGTTAGAAAAACCACACATCAACTAAGCTGGGGGTCGGGAGTTTTAAGTGCCTATTACTGTCAAGAATAGAAATCCCAAGTCCCATGTCAACTCAATTGAACAAGGGCCCAGAGGGGAGGAGAGAAATGGGTGGCAGGTCGGCCCTAGACTAACTACTGGAGACTGACTGATGCTGAATGAGGAAAGAGTATGCTTTACATACAATCTCAAGATGGGCTGACAAGACTCTGATGGATGAATTTACATTGAAGGACGTCTGGGTACAAATGCTTGGATGGATGGGACTTAACGTGTATGGCAGGATACATGAGGTCCAGTGGGGGTATGGGGGGCATGGATGGGGGAGGGGGCCTAAATTTGATTAAGAACTGTTGTATAAAATTACAAAAGCTTGGGGCTAGAGAGATGGCTCAGTGGTTAAGAATACTGACTGTTCTTAAAGAAGAATCGGGTTCAAATCCCAGCACCCACATGGCAGCTAACAACTGTAACTCCGGTTCCAGGCAATCTGACTGACAACCTCTTCTGTCCTCCATGGGCATTGCACAACACAGGTGCACCTACCTACATGCAGGCAATACATGCATACACATAAAACAAAAATAATAAAGAAATTTTTTAAAAAACTACAAAAGCTCAATAAATTTATTTTTATTTATTTATTTATTTTTAAAAGAATAGAAATCAGATACTTTAGGAAGACCATAGAAAGAAAACTTCTTGGAGGCCTGGAAAATTTATGTCAAATCTGACTTTCTGAATGGGAAAGGAGTCTGGGTATTCCTTAGGTCTCTAAAGATGAATGGGTTGTCTAACTTGTAATAGAAGATCTGTTCATCATCAATTTACAATGTATAGAATATTACAGATACAATTCAGCTCTGTCAGGAAACCACTCTTGGTTTCATTTTGGGGAAAGAGTTTATGCTTCCAAATTGTTTTGTTTAATTGCTTGCCATTTGGTTTGTCTCACTGGTTGGACTTGAAGAAGTCTGTGATTTTCGGGACGAGACTGTTGGGAAGCATGTCCTTCAGGCACTACCTACCTTGAATCACAGCAGTTGTGATTCCCCACACTCAACTAGACCCTCATGAAATCAGGCCTATTGACATTCCCTCACAGGAGGGATCATTAGATCCTCACCTGAGAGCCCAGCCACGCATTCAGCTCCTGAGCCCTACCTCTCCCAGCTGCAAGTAATTCTGTCCCAGCTGAAAGTGGACTCCATTGATGCAGTTTTTAGGAGGTTGTCACTCCTAGTGGGTGGGACTTGGTGGTGAGGTTTGGGGATTAGTTATTCCTATCAATAACCCATGTTCCTACATTTACATAGTGCCCAGTGAGCACACTGGTTCACCAGGCTGGACTTCAAATCATTTCTTGGTCTGCTGTCAGTTCCCCATTTGGAGTGACCAGTGATACAGAAGACACTAAGCTGATTTAATACAGAAGCTTTCCACCTGGGAGCCCCTCCCCCGCACCACCCGGCCACTTCCAACAACAGAGTCTTGATCCTGCTTTAACACTGCTGAGGGGAAATTACAGCTCTGTTTGGTAAACTTGATTTTTCTCTTTTCTTTTTTGGCTTCCCCCTCAATGATTCCTGTCTCTTTTTTTTTTTTCTAAAATTACAATAAAGCTCTTTTTTGGACATTTTGAAACAATTTCAGTTGTGTTATGGAGCACAAGAAAATGTAATTCTAATTCATGTGGTATGGTCAGCCCAAAGTGCTAGGAGGAAGAACGAGAACGAGAGCCCAAGAGAAGATACAAACGTGGAACAAGCATTTGGTGACTCAAACAGCTGGCCACCTGCTTCCTTCCAAGGCTCTCCTCTGCTTTCATTTTAAAGGGGCTCTGTTTTTAGCATGAGAAGCCACTCCTTACCATAACTAACAATGTTCCATAATGGACCATAATGAAGATCCTGTCCTGAGGGAGTCGTTCAGCCCAAGATTCTAAATTAAAAGAAATAAGTGCTCCCTTGTAACAAATTATTTCTTCTTACCTTGGATTTCATATTCATCAACCTCATCAGCAGAGCCAGAGTCAGAGAACTGTGTGGAATCATGGGAACTGAACTGGGAGCTGCTGGAGGTAACCCGAAAGCCTGCAATATTAACAACAATGAGAACACCACGTAGGATGGAAAGAGGTAGCTTCCCCTTCCAATATCACAATAAAAGGGCCTAGTATGACTTTAACAGAGCAAAGTAAACAGAACCGTGGCTGGGAGTGACGCTATAAAGGGAAAATAGCTCTTCTTACTGGTTTATTTCCTTTGAAAGTCTCATCTAGGGGCTGGAGAGACGGCTCAGCAATTAAGAGCACCGACTGCTCTTGCAGAGGATCTGGGTTTGGTTCCCAGCACCCAAATGGTGGCTAACAACCATCCATAACTCCAGTTCCAGGGGATCTGATGCCCTCTTCTGACCTTCATGGGCACTGTATAACACAGGTGTACTTACCTACATGCAGGCAAAACACTCATACACATAAAATTAAAATAAATACAAATTTAAAAAGAAAGTATCATGTAACTAGAAGTTACTACTCCCAAGCCTAGACCAGTGGTCTTAGTTCTTATATTGGAAACCTATTTTGGAAAAAAGCTACTTCTGATGTAGAAAGTGGATAAACTCTAGGATGAGTATTCCTAATCTAGTACCATCTTCCTTCCTTCCTTCCTTCCTTCCTTCCTTCCTTCCTTCCTTCCTTCCTTCCTTCCTTCCTTCCTTCTTCCTCCCTCTTATCTTTCACACCAACTAAACATTATTTCTCTCTCTCTCTCTCTCTCTCTCTCTCTCTCTCAACAGGATCTCCCTGTAGTCCCAGCTGGCCTGGAATTATGTAGACCAGGTTGGCCTTGATTTCACAGAAATCTACTGCTGGGAATAAAGGCCTGTGCCACCACGCCCAGCCTGATTTCATCTTTCTGACAGTGGAGGAACCCTGGCTTGGGTTTAACATCTCACATGAAGACAGAAGAAGGCCCACGAGGCACTGAGCTTTGTGAAGCTGTGAAGCAGCATGAATACAGGTGTGCCCAGGCCTCACTCACTTCCATACTCTGTCTCCTGGTACACAGGGAGCAGGTTCTTGCTGCGGATCTGCTGGCGCCGAAGGCGGATCTTCTGCTTCAGTTCCTGGATCTCTCTATCACTGTCTTCCTCCTCTATGTCCTCCTCTTCTAGGCACTGGCTCATCATGTTGCATTTCATTAGCTCGATGGCAGCAATCAAGGACTCTGAGATGCTGAAGTGGGCATTCTCCTAGAGGAAGAAGGGCACCAAAGAAGTTGTGTGGCAAGGGACCAGAAGTACTGAACACCCTGCTGACTACAACATGAGAAAGCAGAGCTTCTAAGACATGCATGTCTCTTAAGGAAAACACCAGGGGAAGTACACATGTCTACTACAAGGAAAGCAGACGGCCAGACAAACCTGTTCTAGATTCTTTGTTCTCTTAACTGGCCATTACTGTTTCTTCCTCTGTTCCACTTTCTACATAAAAATGAGAAGAGAATCTCAGCTGGTGAGCCCAAGAGCCTCTCAGTGCCAACCTTAGTTCCCCATGCAGCCCCATTTCTACTCCCACACAATGAAAGAAACTGGTGAACAAGTCATCAAACTACAGGCATGGTACACAGTGGGGGGAAAGGAGCTGCCTGAAGAGAGAAGGTGGTTCACAGCACAGCTACAGTAGACGTGAGAAGCACCCACCTCCTTAAAGAGGGTGTGCAGAAAGCAGGATCTCTGACACTGAAGAAGTGAGCATGTTCACACACCAAGGGGCCTTCTTCACAACCTTCAAGTTCGGCCATCTGGCAGCAAACATTTTACTATTATTGGCCACCGAGACAATACAACTGACAGAAATGCTGTGGCACCTAAACCAGGTTGGTGCAGACAGTCTGACTAGTTTAAGAAAAGCTCCGCTCAAATAGTGTACAGATGGAAAAACAGTACTTGCTCCCAAGAAGACAATAAACTTCCACATCTTATGGAGAATTTTAATGATGTGGCTCCTAAGAATGAAGTAAACTGAACGAGTCAACTTCCGAAGAAGGCAAAACTTGAAGAATCACTGACAGCTGCATCTTTTCTTATGACTGCTTTTAAATTTGTTTAAGCTGGGTGTGATGGTGCACACCTATCATCGCAGTACTCAGGAGACAGACACAGGAGGATAGCCTGGGCTGCACAGTGAGATCCTCCCTCAAAATCAACAACAAAGTGGTTTTGTTTATGGACTACATAAAAATCCAAAATGCTGTACATATCTGTGCCTTTGAATAAAATACAGAAGTTGATTCTGGAAAGAATATTTATGTTAAGGTTCCGGAGTCAAGGGAATAACGTGTGGTTAAAATTCAGTGTTTCTCTTCCCTGAGTAGCTTCAACCTCAATGAAGAGTGCATGTTCTGTGAAGAGTTCACCCCAGGTAGAGCTGAGCTCACCTCTGCTGCCTTTATACGTGTCACTGTGACATATCCAAACCTCACTACAACAAATGGTAACACAGACCCTGAGGACAGATCCCCCAGGACGTGAGCTCTGCAAGTGCCCGTCTGATGCCTCACCTTCTCCAGGTCCGCACAGCTGCCGAAGTCCTGCTCAGAGAGGTAACTGATGAGGGACTGTCCTTCCGATGGTCTTCGAAACATGCCTTCTCCTGAGCACAGGTACTGACCACCCTCTGTGGAAAATGGAGTGTGGATATAAAACTTCTCACCTGAAGTGCAAGACTGTAACATCCATGCTTCTTCAACAACTCTGAAGATTTTGCCAGTAATGATGCTCTCAAGTAATTAGGAATTGGAAGTTGAAAACATGTCTACCTTCTAATGAGATTATCTTGATTCTTAAGCGCCCCCGAGCACTAGGCCTCTTGGATGGAGAATGCTAGAATAAATCGAGAGATCCTAGAAACAATCCTTTTTTAAAAAAAATATCGAAATGTATAGAAATATACTGTCCCTCTTATGCCACTAAAAAGGGAAAAAAAATCCAAAACCCAAAGCCAAGAGTAAGAAAAGGACACACATGGCTTCCTCCCATGCATGATTTCCATGTGGAACTTGTCTTCTGGTAATTACACAAAGACCCGTTGCCAAAATTCTCACTCATTCAGAGAACTGGCATGCCTGATCACCAGACACACATGGCAACACCCATAGCAGGAGAGATGGCGGGAGCCCTCAGTCAGCGAAGACCAAGAGAACTGTGCAGAAGTGTTGAAAACGACAAAGGGCTGGGGAGACTGCACAGTACGTGCCCACAAAGCCGAAATGCACGCCACAGCTCAGAGCATAGCAGGCATAAAGAGAGAGCAAAACAAATTTCAGCCCAGCCTTCCCAGTGCTCACTTAGCCGTACTCCAAGCACAGAGAGCTGGAGATGCTGCTTTCACTGCTTTAGTCAAAGTAGATAAAGGGGCCTCTCAAGTTCAAATTGTCATTGTAGGATTCTGGTGTCAGTGACCACACCAGAAAGCAAACACACACACAGAGTGCACATACATTCCCAAATCTAGAGTTTCAACATTTAACTCCTCTCATTTTCAAAGTCCTCCCAAACAGGAAAAAGGCAACCCACCAGTCATGAACAGCCCAAGAATATAGAACACATGGGGGAAATGCTATGGAAAGTCAGTCCATCTAGGAGGAAAAAAGAATGCATCATTCATAATGGGGCAATTCAAAGCTAAATAACAAATCAAAATGGACTTAGTTCCTCTTTCTTCCATCTCAGCAAATGTTACAAGATTATTAGCTAACTGCTAACTTCTTGAAAAACTAATTTAAAAAGTTTTTAGGTGACAAAACAAAAATAAGTACACTGACATTTTTCTAATACCTTGATACTTTGTTTTAAAACAGTATCAGAAGATTTATATTCACTAAATAATGAAAATAAAACCTAGAAAAGTGCTTAAAAGCAGGATGAAGACAATGCTGGAGAAGCTAAGGATGATGGCTTCAAAAGCAAAGGGCTTGTCACCAGAGAAGGGAGGGAGAGGCTTGAAGCAAAGGCTGGCCCCAAGCATGGTGGTACATGCCTGTAATCTCAGCACTTGTAAGACTGAGGCAAGAGGATCACAGTGAGTTTGAGGCCAGCCTTGGTTACATACCTTAGGCAACATAGCAAAATATTTGTCTTTTTTTTTAAAAAAAAAAAGGCTGGCAAAGCAGCAGCTACAGGGCTCATTAGAACCAAGAAAGATATTCTTCCAAAGTAAATACAGTTTTCAGTGCCACAGCAAGAAAAGCAGCAGATGCCTTAGAAACAAGCAGTGTGCACTGGGGGGATAAGCCATGGAGCCATAGTCAACCCATTTCCATAGTCAACCCAGCTTCTCAGCTGCTCCTCCCACAGCAACAGCAAAATGCTACCATAAGGGAGTGATAGTTTTGGGTTTTTCTTGGGCATTAAAGACTTCTGTTGTTCCTGGTAGTAGGCGCTGATCCTCACTACTGAACTAAGGAAAAACTAGCCATCACCATGATGCCTTGATAAGAAACAATGGAAGAGGATTTTGAGATCAACAGCCTTACTCTGCACACAACATAAACTCCAATATCATCACCTTCTTCAGATATGTGGCCATTGAGCCTTTGTTCCTGAGTTCACTACTTCCTTTGGGTGCCCATTTAGATGATTCTCAGTATTTCCTTTCACTCACTCAAAAATGTGCTTTCTGCCGGGCATGGTGGTGCATGCCTTTAACCTCAGCACTCAGGAGCCAGAGGATCTCTGTGAGTTCAAGGCCAGCCTGGTCTACATAGTGAGTTCCAGGACAGCTGGGGCTACAGGGAGACCCTGTCTCAAAAAGACCCAAAAGAAAAAAAAAATCTGCTTTCTTACAATTTCTCATCTTCTTAAACTCTGCAGACTTCCTTCCTCTTCAACTTTCTTTTTTCAAAGATAACATATCTAGTAACTTCTCCATTACTAGATCATGATTTTTCCAGTTCTCCCTCACTGCTCTCTTACTAATATATACCCACACTATTAATAACCCATGATTACAGTACCCAGAATGGGACACAAATTTCAGTTTGGAAACTACCATAAAAAAAAAACAAAACTGAGTTACTAGAAAAATGTTCAATGACTAGGACAGAGTGTGGGGATGCACAGGGGAATGAAGACAGGTAAAAGAAAAAGGACTCTTGGACAGGCAAAAACCATGCAAGAATATCCAAGACCACATAAAAGGAATAAAACACATTCTGGTGTTAAGTCAAGGAAAACAATCTACAGTAAACATCAGTTATAAGAAACATTCTATCACTAGATCCATAATGGGGCCCTAGACAAATAACAGGGTTCAGTTTCACGTTTGGGCAAAACAGAATTGCTAAGTCTTGACTCTGCTTCCCAGAAGCTGCTAGGAGACTGAATGGGACATTTGAAGTTGTAGGCACAACATGTGTAACATGAAATACTAGTGCCATTATACAGATAGGTAGATCCCAGCATCACAACAGGATCAGACTAGTCAGACTTGATTTGACACCAGACTGGAAAATGAGGTTTTTGAACTAAGGTGGTCACAGAGGAACAGAAGAAGAAGAGAGGGGACTGGCTCCCAAACCTGCAATGGGCTCTTCAACTATAATCGTGATATTCCTGGGGCCTCCTGCAGGTAAACAGACAGGTACAGAGGAGAGTCCAGACAGAACAAACAAGATTAGAGAGAGAAAAAACAAACCCACTGTCTTTACCTGGTAGAAGTGGTAACAACATGAACTCCCAAGAGGGAACCCTAGGGCAGAAGGAGGGCTGACTCGTTCAAGAAGCTACAAGACCCATACTCAGACCCTTCTATAGAGGTTTTCTCTGGCTCCCTTTTCCCTTGCAGGTTACCACGGTTTCTGGAATCTGCATGGATTCAAGAATGGGGCCAGGGAGGCTGGGAATGTAGCTCAGTAGAACTCTTGCCCAGCATGAATAAGGTTGTGTGTTCAGTCCATAGTATATTAAAGAAAAAAAAGTGGAGGGAGAGAGGGAAGTTTTACAAGCTCAAAGGCCAGTGACCTTGAAGACAGATGCCAGGCCTGTAGCGGATGTGACTTGAGGACCAGCACTAACCCTAGCACTTTTTACATGTAAGAAAGCTCATGGAGATAGGCTTGGATTTGGAGACTTTTCTCTGAAAGATTCCAATAAGTCATATCAAATTCCTGAAGGAAAATATATTAAGGTTTGTCATTCAGAGGGTTTCAGTTGAGACCCTGAATTTGCATCTTTCTAAAAATGACAGAGAAGACAAATAGCTCCAGTTGCCAAAGGAAATCCTTTATTTTGTCTAGGTAGATATTTTATTTTATATCTGGGGCTTTTTCTTGAATCATAATAGTTTTGAACACAAAAGTTCTACTTGCTGTAATAGAGACTACAAATGATACCCTACCAAAGCCTGCCAGATACCAACCACCCAGGAAAGATGACGGCAACATGATGGCGAAAGCAGAGACTGACCTTCCCCACACCAAGGTTTGTTCCTTACTATCAGCTAGCGTTGCATGAAGGAGGCTGCAGAGTGCAGAGCCTTCTTACCTGACTGCCTCTCAGTCTAAGTTAATGATGCAGCAGTCAGCCCACCCACTTGGCTACAAAGCCACATCACCCCATCAATACTCACTATATCCCTAGTCATAATGAGGAAACTCTAACAGTACTCTACTTCAATATTACATCTTACACTTCTAAGGAATCACAGGAAGAATTTAAAGAGATTGTTTGTAAACCTCTTTAATATTTTCCCTCTGTCTGAGAGATACATTTAAAACATACACTGTGATGAGTCACTGTCCTCTGATGATATGGAACTAGTGAAAGAATCAAGGAAAGCATTTAGCACTTAGCATCATGTAAAGAAACACAAAGCACTGGCGTCCTCAGTATGGGTACTGCATTACAAACTTGTTTCATTATAGAGCAGAATGTCATGGCATCAGAAACATTTCTTCTCTTTCTGCCATCTTTAAAGCCCTAGGAACAGGCCCTCCCCACCACCCTCAGTTCTGGCCCTCTTGCTAACCATCGCTACCTGCAGCTCCTCTGGATGCAACGTTGGTATCTGAATGGGAGCGAATATGGCTCTTCTTTGCCCCACTGGTGACAGTGACAGTCTGTCCTTCTGAGAAGCTGGACCTGCGAAGGACACTGGCTGGCTGACTCTGCCTACCTGCCTCTTGGTCCCCTAGAGAAGAAGCAGCAGAATCTGGCTTTTGAGAGCTGCTGGAGGAGAACAAATTGGAGCTGCTGCTCTCAGCATTGCTACTATGGCTCTGACAGCTGGTAGTCCGGCTATGGGGGTCTGGGTTGCCAATGGCCAAGTACTCAGGCCCCTCGGTGGCATCACTTGGGGAGTCATTTTGGCTGCTGATCCAAGATGCCTCCATGGGGCTAGTCAGAGTGCCGGAACTCATCTCATTTGGGGTCAATGGGAAATCCTGGGCTAGTACAGAGTCTGAAAGCTGTGGCATTTGGATGGTTTGATCCTCTGCTGGTGAGAATTGTCCATCTTGTTGAGGTTTCCAGGGAGGGCCAGAGAGTGAAAAGGAAGTAGATCTTCTCTCTAGGATATAAAAAAGAAAGGCTAAGGGGAGAGAAAGGGAGTTGGAATTCTGAGGTGGATATATCGGTCCACAGTTAAGGGTGTTACTTCAGAAAAGATAAGCCAATAATATTCAGGGGCTGGAGAGATGGTTCAGAAGTTAACAGCACTTGCTGCTCTTGTAGAGGACCTGAGCTTGGTTCCCAGCACTCAGGTCAGGCAGCTCACAACTGGCTGCAACTCCAGCTCCATGGGATCCAATGCCCTTTTACAGCCTCTGTGGGTACCTGTACACAAGAGCGCACACGTGCACGTGCACACACACACACACACACACACACACACACAAATTAAAATAAAATAAATCCTTTAAAAATGATTTAGAAGCAGCTAAGGCAAGGGCATGGGTGCTTGAGACAGTGGCTTTACTGCTTCTTACATTGAATTCCTCATCTGTAAAATGAGCAATAATAATTGAGAATGCTGACCTCTCAGACTGTTTTAAGAATCAAATTATATTATATATATAAACTGATTATTATATCAGAGCCCAGCATGTTATAGGTACTTCAAAAACATTAGCTATTAGCTATTAAATACCTTATTTGCAAGGTGAATTAGTTCAAAAGAATCTTAAAAAAATCTCTTTCCTCTTTTACTTTAATGATGCTATTAAATTATTTTAGGCTAGCTGTTATATAACTTTGTTTTGTTTTCTTAAGACAGTGTCTCAAGGCCTGGCTGGCCTTGGACTTGCAACAATGGTCCTACTTACATTTTTTGAGTGCTAGGATTACAGATGTGCACTATCACCATTCAGCTGCTACACAACTTTTTTATGATGTCCATTACTAAGACATGAAGCTAGACTATCTGTACCAACCCGATGCCCAATTCCCAGTCTGTGAGTCCTCATAAAGTTTCTCTACTTTTCAGACCTGAAGATACATGTAATGACCACCCATTCTGCCCTTACAGCTAACCAGGCTTCAATTCTCAGCCTGCAAGCACACAAAGGCCCTCTACCTTCCAGGACAAAAGATACATGGAATGATGACCCATTTCTGCCCCCATACCTGAGATGTGGATAGGCACAGCTTGGTGGAGACTGGAGGAGGACCCAAAGTAGGAATGCTGAGCATAGCTAGTTGGAGGGGCATATGTGGAACCAGGCAGAGCTGTCAGGCTCTGGCTCTTTGTAACCAGCAGTGGGCTCTCGTGCTTTCTGGCAAACTAAAACAAAAGAAAACATGTGTCAGAGTGAAGTGTAGAGGCTCTCAGAGCAGGGGCCTCATTACTGCAGAAATGCTGCTAGAAGCTAGCCTGTGGCAGTATACCTACAAGTAGAGCCAGTAGCTGTAGTGCAAAGACCCTCTACCATACTATGCAACTTTGAAATTGTGAAGTCCTGTTGTATACCACAGCTTCTGCTCTGCACTCCTTCCAGTGGTAAAGCATGGGTATTCCCTCTTGTAGGCAGCACTACAAAGTACTTAAGACCATGAATGAGGGGCTGGGGAGACAGCTCAGTGGGTAAAGAGCACTTGCTGTGAAAGCATAAGAACTGAGGCTCAAATCCCTAGCACCAATGTAAAGGCAAGGTGGGCATGGAGCCTGTCTGCAATCTCCATGCATGAGAGGCAGATACAGGGGATCCCAGGAGCAAGCTGGCTAACTACACTATGCTTTATCGATGAACTCCAGATTCAGCTAGACCCTGCCTCAATATGTGGACAGCAATCAAGGAAGACACCTAGCATACCTTGGACCTCTACACATAGGCATGCACATGTGTGCTTACATACATATAAACATACACATACACATGCACACATACCACACACACATGCAGAGCAAAAAAAAAACAAAAAACAAAAAAAAACCAAAACAACAAAAAAAAGATTATGCATGTGTGCTCAGAGCAAGGGCCTAATTCCTAAGCTGTCACTTATAAGCATTTGATCTAAGCTTTGGACAAGTGACTTTACTCTGTGTTTCTGTGATTGTTTTTTTCCTTAAAAGACATGGCCTTGCTATGTAGCCCTGGATAGCTTAGTACTCATGGTGTATCCAGGCTGGCCTCAAGCTTGTGACTCTCCTTCTGCCTCCTACACTCCCGAGTGCTAGGATTATAGGCATTAGCTACCATGCCTGGCCCTTAGGGACCTTCCTTTGCTTTTGGTGTGTGGTACATGTGAGTGTGTGTGTACACGTGCGTTCACCTGTGCATGAGCATGTGGAGGCCAGATGTGAACACTGGGCATCTCCATCTTCTTTTTGAGACAGAGTCTCTTACTGACCTGAAGCTCATCCTTTCAGCTAGACTGGCTGGTGAGCGAGCTCCAGAGGTCTTCCTGCCTTGGGCTCCCCTCCCCCTACTTCTGGGGCTGCAGATGTGTACCTCCACACCTGGCTTTTACATGGTTTCTAGGGATCGGAATTAACATCCTCATGCTTGTTCAACAAATACTTTACCCACTGAGCCGTATCTCCAGGCCCCTACTGACTTTCTTCATAAAGAGATTAAGCCTGTCTCCCTGATTTGTGAAGATTAAATGAGATGATGTGTGCTTTACAGCAGAACAGCATACCTGGCTCATAGAAAAGTATTCAATGGATGGTAACCCACCATCCAAATTACAAGTCAGGAGAGGCAGGGGACCCTCTGTCCTAGACGGATTTGGGGCTGAAATGCCGGTTATGAGGGAAGCTGAATACAAGCAACAAAATTCTTTTGCACTACGCAGTTTTCCTTATACCAAAGAAGGAAAAAACAGTTTTCTTCCTTTCTCCCTTTCCCTCTCTTCTCCTTTCCTTTCCTCCTCCTCTCCCTCCTCCTCCTGTCTCCTGTCCTGTCCCCCTCCCTTTCCCTCCCTCCCCTCCCCTCCTCTCCTTTCTTCTTTTGATAAGGATAGGATCTGTGGTGGTTTGAATGGGTCATGTCCCCCATCGGCTCATGTATTTGAACACTTGATTCTTGGTTGGTGGCACTGTCTGGGAAGGTTATGGGACCTTCAGGAGGTGAAGCCTTGCTGCAGGAAGGACCTCACTGGAGGTGAGCTTTGAGGGTTTATACCTGGCTCCACTTCCTGTTCTCTTTCTCTCTGCTTCCTGTGTGTGGATGAAAATGTGGTCAGTCAGCTTCCTATTCCTGCTGGCAGGCTTTCCCTGCCTATTGCCATATTATTATACCTTCCCTACCACCACTGACTCTATCCCTTGAAACCAGGAGCCAGAACAAACTCTTTCTTCCCTAAGCTGCTTTTTTTGTCATGGTATTTTATCACAGGAAAGTAACTCATACATGAGCTCATAGCCCAGGCTAGCTTGGAGCTCATTATAAGCCCAGGCTAGCCTCAAACTCATTATCCTCCGGTGTTGTCTTAGTTTGTTCTCTTCATTGCTGTAACGAAATACTCTGACCAATACCAACTTGGGTTTATTCAGCTTACAACTCCCAGGTCACAGCTCATCAGGGAGCCCAAGGTGGGAACTCAGGGCAGGAACCTGGAAGCAGGAGCTGGAGCACAGGCCGTGGAGGAACACTGCTTACTGGCTTGCTCCCCTGGCCCCTGCTCAGCCTGCTTTCTTATGCAACACAGGCCCACCTAACCAGGGGTGGGACCACCCACAGTGGGCTGGGCTCTCCTGTATCACTCATCAAGATGCCCCTCAGACATGACCACAAGCCAGTCCAGTAGAGGCAATTCCCCAACTGAGGCACCCTCAACCCAGGTGTGTCAAGTTGACACTAAAGCTATCCAGCACATGTGTCAATCTCCCAAGTGCTAGACTTGGACCATGTACCATACACCTAGCTCTTTCCAAGTTTTTTTTTTTTTTTTAAATAAAAGCCTTTCAGCTCACAACTGCCTCAGTGAAGAAGTCATTTGCTACTGAGGGTTTTGTCATGGTGAGATACAGAGGCCCAGCACAGACATGGATAATTTACCATAGATGCATCAATCTGAGCCAGGAGGCGGGGATTGTTCTGTTCCACTGCTTCCAGGCACTGGAGCATGGCTGTGACATGGGCATCACTTAGCAGAAATGCAGTTTCTAGGGAGAAAAAGGTACCACAGTGATGAAGCCCAGTGGGGAAAGCATCAGCCTCTCCATGAGGCCCTGGGGGGAAAGAAACTCGGAGAAAGGTAGAATCAAAAGGAAGAGGGTTGAATGGTGGCCTGGTGGGGAGAAAGGTTCAGAGACAAGTAAAGTGCAGAAGCAGCTACACTGTGCAGTAAAACAAAGAGGGCAAGATAAGAAGCTTCCAAGTCAGAAAGGCTTGGAATTGAACCCTGGCTCCAGGTACCTAGCCTCTGTGAGCTCTGCTTTTCTGGTTAGAAAGCAGGAATACTCCCAGCACTGGGGACGCAGAGGCGGGTATATCTCTGTGATTTCAAGGTCAGTCTGGTCTACATAGCAATTTCCAGGCCAGCTGGGGCTACAGGGAGACCCTGTCTCAAGAAGACAAGACAAGAAGAGAAAGAAAAGAGAAAAAAGAAAAGAAAACAGGGGTACTACCACACCACTCACAACTCTTGGACTCTTGGAGCAGTTGTGAAGAGTACAGGGAACAGTGACTGAACACAAAGAACTCAGTAAATGGTGCTTCTTACTGGTTTTCATGGCTCAGCACATGGGAAAAACCTTAGCATAAGATGTGGTTGTGATTTTCGAGGGAGGTGAGAGGGAAGACTGGATATGTTTCTGAGTGGAATCTACAGCATCAAGTGAAAATTAGGAGGCCTTGGTTAGAGGAAGTCTGTTAAGGAATAGCGAGATGGAAGGGAATAAGGAACTACATGCAAAGCCCTGAGTGGCCCTACTTACCCGAGTAGAATTTTCGGATATACTGTCTGTCCCTGAGCAGAGGTCGGAGCTGGGCTGAAAGACAGTGGCACTGCAGGCTGTGCTGCAGCCAGCGCTCTGCAACAGCATGCTCACTCACACCATCGGCATTGCTCTGGCCATTCTCATGCAAGCTGATGAACTAGGAGGCAAAGAGGCATGAGTCAAAACACATCCTGTAGACAAGACCAAGGCCTAATGATGTGAGAACTAGACACAGACGGGTATGGAAAGCACTTCTTCCAGCGAGTGAAGGGATTAAGAGCTTCCCTACTCTAGTGGCCCCCACTGAGGGGCTGAGCAGTCAAGCTCTGACATGCAACCCCATGAAGCAAGGCCTCTACCTATGGCTCCTTGTGTTCTGGCTCCAAAGTGGCTCCTGGTCTGGAATGTTCACAGGAAGGCGTCAAAGCAATCTGATCTCTTGGCTTCTTTCATAGAGTTCTCTATTTCAGGAAGCCCCCAGAAAGAAATGTGGTAAAAATTTTGGGGGGAGGGGTAGATCTAGGGGGGAAAATGCCACAAAAGAGAAGCCATCTGAGCATGTCTTTTTTGTTCTAGCCATAGCAGCCTCTAGAACGCTTTCCTCCTCACATGTTTCTAAGAGCAAGGTCTCACAGCCAGGATCAGTACAACAAAATGTATGTGTAGCAATCCCAGGCAGCTGCTAAGAGAAAACAACTATAGCACCCATTTTGGAAAAGGAAGGTGGTCAGCCAAGTGTGGTAGTGTACACCTGTAACCCAAGGACAGGGGGCTAAGGAAGGAAAATCACATGTTTAAGGCCAGTGTGGGCTAACCAATGAAACTCTGTCTTAGAAGACAGGACAGGACAGATGGACAGACAGAATGAAGGAAGGAAAAAGTGAGGTGAGGTAGAACAAAGAAAATTAGAGGAGCTGGAGAGATGGCTCAGTGGTTAAGAGCACTGGGTGCTTCCAGAGGACCTGGGTTTGGTTACCAGCACCCATATGGCAGCTAAGAACCATACATAACTTCACTTCCAGGGGATCAGATATCCTCTTCTGACCTCCATGGGAATTGCACACATGGGTGCATTTACATATATGCAGGAAAAACGCTCATACACATAAAATTAAAAAACAAAGTTTTAAAAAGAAAATAGCAGAATAATATTTGTCACGAGAAAGGCCAGTATGGTACCCTGTTGTCTGTTCTCTGATCAGTTAGAAACTAGTACTGTTCGTGACCTCATCTCAGCAAGAAATTCATCAGGAGAAACACGTGAAACAAGCCTGGCTATATATAGACAAAAGATGCAGAGGGGTGAAAGGTGGCTATTTTGAGTTCATATCATTAATCTAATTTTAGATACATTTAAAATTTTCCATAATATAAAGTTAAATGAATATATAAAATTGGCAGTCACTATTCTAGAAGCATTATTATAGAACCATTTTTGTAACTTTGGTCAAGTCACCTAACTTCCCTGAGCTGTTTCCCTGACTGGAAATCAGGGGTACTATGCTGAGCTAAAGACACCAGCATATAGAGCAGCCAAAGCTGTTAGAGACACATTCCGCTCCATTTCATTCTGGACTTCAGAAACCTCTCTTTCCTTTCTAACTGAAGTACCTTTTTGCTGTTGTTGTATTGATACAAGGTCTGTAGACCCAGCTGGCCTGGAACTCGCTATGTAGACCAGGCTAGCCCTGATCTCACAGAGACTTGCCTGCCTCCAACTCCCCAGTGCTGGGATTAAAGGTGTGTGCCACCATGCCCAGCACTAAGTACCTACTTAAACAGTTCTCAGTATAGCAACTGAACTTCCCCTTCTACTTAACGGCAATTCTTCCCATTTGTCACAGATTTTAAAATTTCATTCTAGTCCCATATACACAGATATCATGAGGAGAGAAGATGACAAGGAAAGACAGATTTGTAAGGTTGTTTGGTTTTCCCCACAGGAAAGAGCCCTCCCCTCTAATCAGTGCTCCAGAGAAAATTTCCTTCCCTCAATTACAAGTAAACTGAACACTTCCATCTAGGGAAGACTAGGAAGGAAGACTCTTTTGAGAGTTGATACGACTCTCACCCAGCACACCAGCTCTTCTTTCACTCTTACCTTCTCAACATGAAGGGCTGAGTGGGGACTGAGCCACCGGATGTCTTTCACAAACTTCCAGTAATCAGCCTGGCGGCAACACACCTAACAGAAAAACACGGAAGTAAGAAAGTCACTACTCTCCTGGACAAAATTTGGTTTGACAGTTGACAGTGAAAAGTGTGGGGGGGGGCAGGCATGGTGGCATGGCAGCATGGTGGTACATACATCTAGAATGTCAGTGCTCAGGAGGTAGAGGCAGAGGATCTCCAGTTCACTGCTAGCCTGAGCTGCACAGTGAAACTCTATCTTCAAAGCAAAACAAAAGAGAAAGGTAGGGAAGAAAGGGAGAGAATATGCCTCAATAAAGGTTGTAGGAGCAACCGAAAGAATACATACATATCTATTCTTTAAAAAGCAATCAGTTATAAAAAATAATTAATTGTTGAGCTGCAGAGATGGCCGGTGGTTAAGAGTATTTAAGTAGTTCATCCAGAAGACCTGCATGCAATTCCCAATACACACATCTGGTGGCTCACAACCACCTGTAACTCCAAATCCTGGGAATCTGATGCCCTCTTCTGGCCTCCACAGGTATCTGCACTCATATAAACAAAACAAACCCACACTTAGACACACATATACACCTACTTTTTAAAAATCTTGAAAAAGGGGCTGGAGAAATAGTTCAGTGGTTAAGAGCACTGGCTGCTCTTGCAGAGGAACTGTGTTCAATCCCCAGCACCCACAATGTGGCTAACAACTGCCTGTAACTCCAGTGCCGGGGGATGCAACACCCTCTTCTGACATCCACCAGTACTGCATGACATGGGTACACTTACCTACATGCAGGCAATACACTCATACACATAAAGTAAAAATAAAAGGATTTTTTTGCTTTATTTTTATGTGTATGCATGTATTGCCTGCATGTATGCAAGAGCACCCATTGTACAATACCTGAAGAGGACAGAACAAGGTGTCTGAGCCCCTGGAACTGGAGTCACAGGTGGTTGTTAGCTGCCATGTGGGTGAGGTGATTTGAACCCGAGTCTTCTTCAAGAATAGCCAGTGCTCTTAACCCCTAAGCCATCTCTCCATCCCCAATAAAGAATTCTTAAAAATTGAAAAAACAGTAATCATTTAAATCATTTAAATTGTTTTAGTGTTGTATTTGCACACACATGTACCCATATGCATGAAAGTCAGAGGACAACCTTGTATATAGTTCCTAAGGAGCACTGTCCACCTTATTTTTGAGCTGGAACTTAGTAGGCAAGACTGACTGGCCAGAAAACAACAGGGATCTGCCTGTCTCTTCATGACCAGTGCTGGGATTACAAGTAAGTGCCACTATATTGGTTCTGGGGAATGAACTCAGGTCCTTGTGTTTATGTGGGAAACACTTTACTGATTGAGCTATCTCCTGAATCCTAAATTGTCCTGAATAGGTCTTACATGCATAGGATATCTATGGTATACAGTGGAAATCATCTGTCTTCTACTCCTTCTCTCTTCGCCATTCAGTTTCCTACAAGGTTATTCCTGAAATTAGTGGAATGATTTGCTGAAAACCAGAGGTGAATGTCTTTAGTGCCTGTTGCAAGCAAAATGAAAAAAGGAAACACTTGATTTTGTCACACTACCTAGGCCAATAAAGGACTGTAGTTAGAGTCAAAGAAATGTCCAGTCTTTTTAGAACGGTCTTGTACTGGAAGAGCCCAAACACAATGACATTTTTTTTTAATCATGAAACCTAATTATTTCAAGGCTCCTTTCTGAAATTACTTGGCAGGATTTTAAATTTAGATCAATATCAAACTGGCACAAGTATCAAGAGATAAATCAACTAATAGAACAAAATAAAGAATGAGACCTTAAAATGTATCAGAACTTAATGTACAATTCAAAAATACCTCAAAAGTCAATGGTAGAGGCTGAGGCTATAGCTTAGAGGTAGAATGCTTGCTAGTGTGAGCAAGGCCCTAGGTTTCAACCTCAGCTCAGAGGAGCGGGGTAGGCACATAGTGTTAAATCAGTGGTAGGGACCATTATGAACAATTATACAGCAACAAATTGAAAACTTTAAAACAATAGCTAAATTTCTGGACGTACATAACCTACCAAAGTTGAACTACAAAGACATGAAAACCTGAACAGAACAGTGAGTCAGTAATAAAAAGTCTCCCAACAAAGAAAAGCTCACAACCAGATTGATAAATACCAAAACTTTAAAGACTTAAGAGCAGTTATTCTCAAACTATTCCAAAAAAATTAGAAAAGAGGGGACATTTCTAAACTCATTCTATGAGGCCAGTATAGTCCTGTCATATCAAAACAAGACAATGACTCAACAACACAATGGCTCAGTAGTTAAGAGCACTGCTCTTCCAGAGGACCTGGGTTCAGTTCCCAGTACCCATATGGTGTTCACAACCCCCTGCATGCACATGGTACACATAATATACTCAGGCACACACACAGATACAAAAAATAAAAACTAAATAAATCTTTAAAAAAAACACAAAACTGCTGATCAATATCCCTGATGAACATGAATACAAACCTTACCAACAAAATACCAGCAACTGAATTTACAAGCACATTAAATATCTTATATACTGGCAGGTGGAGATGGTTCAGTAGATAAAGCTGTCTGCCACCAAATGTGATTGAGGACTTGAGTTTGATTCCCAGAACCTACATGGTTGAAGTCTCCATATGCACATGCATTCAAATACATAATAAATAAGTAAATAAGTAAATAAATAAATAAATGTAAAAATATTTCAAAAGCTTACATGCTATGATCAAGTGGAATTTTTATCAGAGACACACAGGTGTTTCAGCATATAAAGAACAATAACAGAATATATCTCATCAGAATGAAGGGCAAAAACAATATGATCATCTAGGCAGGAGCAAAGGAACAAATCTTTAATTTCTCTGCAGAACTTGGGAAATAGCTCACTGACAGAGCAGTTGCCTAGCATATACAAAATACTGGGTTGCCTAGCATATACAAAGCCCAGCACTGTTTCTACAATAAACAAAAACAGAAACAACAACAACAACAAAAACCCTCTCTCTTTAAAAAAAAAAAAAGCCAACATCATTATGTGATGGAACATGTAAACAAAATGAAAGTATACCAGGTTACTGATTAAATGAACTGGGGTATATGCATGCATATAATATTATATAGACTCAAAATGATGCTGTTTATTTATTGAGTATAAGGTTTCCCAATCCTCCTTAACCTGAGAAAGAAGCATTCAAGAAGCACTCAAATTGTGCCGTTTCATCCCCACCAATAAAGTTGCAGCTTACCAAATTTATTTCTGTCAGTTATATTTTCACATTTAAAATATTGACTATGCACATTTATGAACTATCTGGTATATTATCAACAGTAAGTAGTGTGCTCTGAAAATCCTCTTCACTAACATAAGTCCTTATGGAAGACAGTATCAAATTAGGCAGAGGCAAGACAATTTTCAAGTCAGGAAAAAAAAATCTTAAAATGTAAATTTTCCAATTATATTCATATTCTTTAAATACTGGTCCAATATAAAGAAACTGAAGCCATAGGCTGGATGGATGGATGGCTCACCAATTAAAAGCACTGGCTACTCTGGCAAAGTTAGGTTACCCAGGTTAGGTTCCCAGCACCCGCAAGATGGCTTACAACTATCTGTAACACTAGTTCTGAGAGAGTCAATGCCCTCTTCTGGCCTATGCAGGCATTTCATGACATGGGTGCACTTACATGCAGGCAAAACACTCATACACATAAAAGTAAGTAAAAAGTTAAAAAAAGAAGCTGAAGGCAGAAATGCTGTACAATGTATTGAGGTGTGGTTTATATAAGAAAGATGATATAGAACTCCATTAGTGGATCCACATCACAAAAAAGATTTTGGTTACTATCCAAAGACTGTTGAATAGATGCAAATGTATAATTTAAATTGACACAAAGTGTTTGAGGAAAAACAGAGTTGATAAAATGTTTGAATCAAAACAAAAATTGATTTTCCTCAGTTAGCCAATCTGTAAAACCCAGATTGTGTTGTGAAAAGGTGTTATATGTCCTTATAAAAAAAGACTATAATGAAAACTATAATGAATACTAAAACCACATTTAAGCCCTAGGTTTGATCCCCAGGACTGCAAAATTATGTGGGGAACAGGGTAGATGAAGAATAACTCATCATAATAGAAATGCAAAAAAATACAGATGTGTAGGAAATTAAATAGATTCTAGATAAATTACAATAGAATTGTCTAAATATACAAATAAGTTATAAAAGTAACAAGTCACAAATAAACATTTTTTAAAATGTGTTTTACATTTGTATTTATTTGTTTTATATATATGTGGGTGACAGGACACATGGGAGTCACAGGGCTCATATGGAGGTCAGAGGACAACTTGCAAAAGCAGTTCTCCCCGTCTACTATGTGGATCCCAAAGGCTGATCTACAACCCCTCAGGTTTCCAGGCTCAGCAGTAGGTACCTTTACCCATTAAGTGCACATGTACAGACACAGAAAGATACATACACAATAAATAAATGTAATAAAAAATTTAAGATTTTAAACTATACAAGATACTGCCAGATGTGGTGGTGCACACCTTTAATCCCAGCACTCAGAAAGCAGAGACAGGTGAATCTCTAAGAATGCAAGGCCAGCCTGATCTACATAGCAAGTTCCAGGCCAGCTGGGGGCTACAGCGAGACCCTGTCTCAAAAAGACCAAAAAAAAAAAAACAAAAACAAACAAAAAAAAAAAAACAGTCAACAGAAAACAAATACTAGGATACCATGCCCTGGTATTTCCACAGTTCCACTGTTCAAAAATGTGTTAGAGATATGACAATGTCAAGAATCATCTTCAGAACAGTTATGATCACTCCCTACATCAGAGAATGCCTCCTAATCTCCTAATCTCTTTGGTTTCCTTGACTCAAGGAGATCAACCTGCCTGTGGACTTGTGGTCAAACTGTTATTCATTTCAGGATGTATTGACATTCAGTGACATGGCTGTGGACTTGTAACAGGAGGAGAGGGAATTCCTAGAATGGGACCAGAAGACAACAAAA